ATGCACTAACTTGTAGTAGGTCCAAACTAGTCTAACTTTACATCATTACATAAGTTAGACTTCAACCAAAAAACATGTGACTAATGGTAACCAAAAATATTTTTTAAGTGACAACAAAAGTGTCGCACACCCGGTTGCCTCCAACAGCATCTCTCTCGATTTGCCACAAAGAACCAATCTAAATATTGAAAGAAACTATGGGTTACTACCACGCAGATTTTGGTAAATATATATATCGCTGGGGCAAAATCTTAGCTTGGAGATGTCAAAATCCTTCGTGAATTTCTATCCCATCCTTACTTTCGGGGATCAAAGCCAATCTTGTCGGANAAGCTTAGCTTGGAGATGTCAAAATCCTTCGTGAATTTCTATCCCTTCCTTACTTTTGGGGATCATAGCCAATCTTGTCGGAACCTAAATAAGATAACCATACTAGATTTGGTTACTTGTTTATCCATCAGTTTCTGGTTGGATTGACAATCCATTTGTTGATAATGCGTCCAGCCTATCCTGGTTGGGGTGTAAAAGGCAGCTGGTTTATTTAGAAGAGAGTGATCCATTGGTGGGGAGATAAATTCTTTTTGTTGAGAGTGAAGAAAAGTGGTAGAATGGTAAAATGGAGATGGTGGTGGTTGAAGGAGAAGAGCATTGTTTTCATTTCTTTGATCTTCATCCTGAGAAAGTCAAAAAATTTGATTAAGCTTTTGGCTTCTTTCATTTTCACCAAAGGTCAAATTATAATCAGCCCGTTTCATGTTTCGATTGTCAATCTTGTGTTGAGAATAAATGTTTAAAGAATAATTTCTTAGTGTTGGAACTTCAGAGTGTGGCTTCTTATCTTTATTCTAATGACTTTTTGTATCTCGAATAAATAACTACAACCTTTTCGAACACGTCTATTAACATTTCAAATGTTCGAATGAAGCAAAAGAAAAATTATAATCATAATCCATGGTAATGAAGTAGACATGTTATGAAGTTACTTTCCATGTCGAGGCATTCTCATGCCATAGATCCCGTGGAAGAAATACATTATTTGAAAATCCAGATTTCATTTGTGAAAAAAGGATTACACAGTCTGGTTAAGGGAAGCGAAGGCAAAAGAACACAGGCTAAGGTACGATGAAGCCGAGAAAAATCGATTAATATGGCGGAGAAAAGAAGAGCAAACATCTTAGCATTTTGATTATTTTTTAGACGACCTTGCCGTCAAACATGTTATTTGATTCAGTTTGCATAATTAATTTGGTAAAGAGTAGGAGAGTCAGTGTGTGTGTGTGTGTTTGTATAAATTTTGTCATCAAACTAGCTCACTCATGATCGAGTTTTTTACGAGCTTATTATATATATATAGCATGTGTCAATGATGTACTTGTACTTATAACTCAATTAAATATCGTAGTTAGGGGGGAAGATATAAGAGAAATGTACATGAGTTGTATGTTCTCCGATCATTTGAGCAAATCAATTTCCATTTATGTAAATTTTCCTAAATTTAAATTTACACCATCATGCATTTTCTTTTTGGCACTACATTGTAACAAATGAAACTGAGTTGATGATCCTGGCACGAAATTGGTGGCATCAACCCAAGCATGGTTACCAACCCAAAATATTTTTCCAGGGGACCTTTTTCAATGACAATATCCTGAATAAAGAACTCGAACATGAAGAAAATGGTTAGCCTTCCATTCTTGATTTTCTTCACCTTCAAGTCAGCAAAAGTGATGAGGGTCATCAGCAAGGCCAAGAGGATAAAAGTATTAGCCACTGGGTAAAGGTTGTCCTTACCAATAGCTTCTAAAATGTTGACTTTAAATCCTTCAATTAGTCCCATGAGAACAATTTGGAATTCAAGAA